TATCCAAACTGTCTACTTCACCCTAAAACTTAGTCTTCACATATCCACAAAATTTGTAACATTTTTTTTGCTTCAAAGTTCATAGTCTTTCTATGTGTGGTCATACGAGTCCTATAGTGCGTTTGGTTTCTTCTTTATAGTCCTTTTTTTTTTTTGAACGTTAACGTACGATTTATCATTAATTCATATGTAAAATACAAGATGTTCAAGCAAAAATACAAGATTACAGAAATGAAATAACCAACAGAGAGGGAGTATGGACTCCTCATTTGGCAAGAACATTAGCATCTTCATTCGCCTCTCTATAACCATGTAGTCCTTTTTGGACCACGTTGTCAAAGGGAGGGCTTTCTATATGACCCCACCCATATATATGGTATATGTGACCCTTTGTTTTATGGGAAAGCTTTCTATGTTCTCCAACAACATAGAAGTTCTATCTTCCCCCTATCATCCAGCCGTCCATTTTTTATCAAGAGAGCTACTCACTGTTTGATCTTAGATCCGATGTCTCAAAGTATTTTATTTTTAGTTTTTTTAATAAAATTTTTTTGAATATGAAATTTGGTACATGCCATCTTCTCATTGGAACAAAACTATATAAAATATTAACAATAATTTTTCGATAAAATATAATTACCAAAATACCCCTTGAAACTTTTAGGGGTACTTTGGTCATTTTATTTTATTGAAAATATTTTTTTTTTATATTTTTAGTTAATGCGAGTTTAATAGTGAAATGGACATCCAAAATTTAGTGTCAAAATAGTTTATAGGAAAAAAAATTAAAAATAAAACAATGTAGAGACGTGACATTGTGGGCAATCTTAACCCTCCATTAAAAAATGGACGGTTGGATAATGGGGAGGATATAACTTCTATGTTGTAGGGGGAACATAGAAAGGTTTCCCTTATTTTATAACTGAGTAGATGTCTGAGATGGCTTGAGTCACAATGTCACAAGCTAGTACTTTACCGTCATATCATGATCAAACGGCTCATAGTGTTTTATTTTTTATTTTTTTCCTACAAATATTTTTGAATCAAAATTTGGGGCATGTATAGATCTGACAGGAACACACATGATACAAATATTAAAAAAATATTTCCTACGATAAAAAATTACCATAATACCCCTAAAATTATAGGGGCATTTTGGTCATTTATTTTTATAAAATATATATTTTTTCCCAGGTTCACCTTAATTTTATGATAGGATGCCCAAAATTTCATCCAAAAATTTTTTGTCAAAAAAAAAAAAAAAACAATGTTTGACGTGACATTATGGTATGAACAATCATAGCCATTTGATTCAGATCGAACGGCTAAGAAGTGGGGTCCCATATAACTTATATATTGTTGGAGCCACAGAAACATTTCCCATTGTGAAAAGGCAGGTCATTATTTAGTATCACATCATTCATTTTTGGGTGCGCGTACCCTCAAATTGTGTCGAGAAATGTGGTTTCAATACTGAAAATTTTTGTGATAGCCTTAAAATATATTTTCATATCTAATTATGAAATTTAAAGCTTAAAAAATAGTGTAGATTGACCAGATCTTTGACAACTTACAAATTTTAAAAATCGACAGTCCAAAAATGCATTACAAGATGCACTATTTCCAAAACTTGAAATCTATTTTTTTCTCGTATCCATACATCTTGAGGTTGAGATGATAAATTTTAGGATATTTAAGCATTAAAGCAACCTCTTCAAGTGAAATTTTTGAGGAGCAGCCTTACTTGATTGTTCAGAGCCTTACACTTATATAAACTTTTTAACAATAACGTGGTTCCATTGCCCTTGGTGTGAGTTCCTGAGTAACTATCTAAGCAACCGCACCAACCTGCACCTAAAAGTGTATTGCATAACCAATCACTTTTCAACTATCTAATTACATTGGACCAGGTTTCTATAGGGCCAATCCCGCATACGTAGAAACGCAAGCCTCGTAATAAGTTTATTTTTTAGATGGATTTTAATACTTAATTTTTAAGGACATGTAATCTCTAACATAGAAATCATGAATATGAATAACTAAATAAGTTTTAAAAACTAAAAAATAATTCTAGTAAAAAAACAGTTGGATTGTTAGTTTCCATTGTTTTTAGATGGAACGCCTGCTTGCATCCATCTTTATGATGGATGCTTTCCACTTTCTAGATCATCTAAACAATTTTCCAATTATATTTGGGTGCGGTGTTTGTATAAGGCTGAGGGCTTACACAATCAAAGTAAGGCGCACCTTCAAATAGTACCGGAATATGTTGTTTTAGTATCATAAATCTTTATGATGGCCTTAAAATTTATTTTCCTCATGAACTATAAAATTTAAAGATTAAAAAATAATGCCGATCTATGTACACTTGAAAATCTTGAAAAATGACGGTTTAGATAGCACATTATAAGACATACAATTTCCAAAACTTCAAATCTATTTTTTTTTCTTGTGTCCATACATCTAGAGGTCGAGATCATGAATTGAGGGTTTTTGGGCACCGAAGTAATATCTTCTAATGAATTTTTGAGCTCCACCTTGATTTGATTGTTTAGGGTATCACCCTGATATAAACCTTTTCCAATTATATTTTATTTCAAAAATTCTGATTTGCTAAAACGTCATTGATGTCAGTCTCCTTAAAATATCGCAAACCACTGTTCGATGGTGGGTGCACTTGTCATATGAAATTAGGTCATTGAAAATGAATTGCGTAAACATCCTACAAAGTTTAAGAAAAAAAACAAAGGCGATACAGGAAAGGGAAAGCTTTCTATGTTTCCCTACATCTATCCTCTCTCTTATCCAACTATCTATTTTTTAATGGAAGGTTAAGATTGCTTCAATCACAATGTCACGTCTTCACTATTTTATTTTAAATCTTTTTTGATAAATTTTTTTGATATCAAATTTTGGACGTCCATTCCTTTATTAAACTCGTACTGACAAAAAATATAAAAAAATATTTTCAATAAAATAAAATGACCAAAATACCCTTGAAAGTTTTAAGGGGTATTTTGGTAATTATTTTTTATCGAAAAATTATTGTTAATATGTTTTATAGTTGCACCCAATGAGAAGATAGCACGCAAAAAATTTCATATTAAAAAAACTAAAAATAAAATACTTTGAGATCAAACGGTGAGTGGCTCTCTTGATAAAAAATGGACGGCTGGATGGTTGGAGAAAGATAGAACTTCTATGTTGTAGGGGGAATATAGAAAGCTTTCCCTAGAAAAAATACACAGATAGGCCAATACTATGTGGAAATACGAGTAACATACCTAAAGTTGAATGATTTGTTGTTTTAAAAACCGGATCCGGTCGAATAGGTTGCCTATCAGTTGTAGACTTCAAGTTTCTAGACCAGGACTAGTACACTACCAGTTCTGAACTGGTTCAAAGATTTTTACAACATTGGTTTAACCTACATTTATAAATATTTAAAAATTGTAAATAAATTTTCCCACCTTTAATATTTGAAATATTAAAAAAGGATAGCTGAGTCCCATCTTTAAATATATAGTACCAATTTAGTGTGTGCTTTCTTGCTCTAATTTTGTCGATCAAGCAAAAACTAGCGGGACCAACCATTGATAAGTATTTCATTGTGGAAAATATAATTGGGGAGGCTCCTCTGCCTCTTTTCTAACGTCAATTTCCTTGTCTGGTACTCCATGACTAGGAAAAATAAAGCTTAAATTCAGTCCATAGTTCTGTATATTAAAAAAGGGAAGATTGAACAGTAAGTTTTACCTTTTATGTTAGCATTAAATGCCCTCCCATTTGTATTCAAATCCAGGTTGAGAGAGAAAAATTGGTATCAAGAAAAATAATAATAATAATAAGGGGTTTTCTATAATATATATAACATTGCATGACGACCCAAACTGTATAGTTTTTCCTATTATAATGTGAAGCACCTAACATTCCCCACAACGTCCATAATGCCCCTTGTGGTTTTGAATGTTGCAATTCCCCACAATGTTCATAAGGCTTAACGACCTCTCCTTGTGGCAAGCAAGAGATGAGAGAGAGATGACCATCTTCATAGTCGGTCGTTAAGCCTCTAAATCTCAAATGCATTCAGAAGGGTGCGTGGACGTGTCACTCGAAGACCAGAGATCAGAGAGACATGACCATCTTCATAGTCGGTCGTTAAGCCTTTAAATCTCAAATGCATTCAGACGGGTGGGTGGACGTGTCACTCGAAGACCATCGCTTAGTTTCATGCCTCTCTTCTGGACACAGTCAAATGTGGCCTTTGATTCCATCATTGATGAACATCTTAAGTTCTCTGCTCTCTGTTTCATTAACAACTTTAAGCTCTGCAAAATCAAAGGAAGAATTGCTTTCAAAGTTATCTCTTGGCCAATAAAATTCTCAAGTTGTCTCATAAACGACTGGTGCTCTAGCTTTATTGCACCCCTCTCTCTCTCTCTCTAAAACTCATTCTCTGTATAAAATCCACTCTCCACCAACCCAATATCTTTCTCTCTAAAAACCCAAATAAAATAATTCGGATTTTCCCTTTTTTTTTTGCTTATAAGAAAAGTTTGGAGAGATTTCTTTTAAAAAAAGTCTAACTTGGGCTGGGCCAGGCCCAGGGCCTAGCTTATGGGAAATTCCAAGCCTTAATGGGCCGCACCAGGCTTCCTGGCCTTTAACTGTCGGGCTTTACCGGGCATAGTTTCGGGCCTGTCATAATTGGGTCCGGGCTTATTGGGCTTCAGCCCAGCCCGGCCCGGCCTGCCGTATTCAAAACTGAAATGTGGTGATGATGATGGGGCACTTTCTCCGCTATTTGAAAGCGTGTGAGTTCCATTAGCGACTTCTTTGACATTTCAAAAAAGAGACTCACTAAGGGACACTTATTTCACTTACTTGACATGAAAATTTTCATTAGGGACATCTTTGGCATTTCAGAGAAGACTTGATGGATCGGTAGTAAGTAATAGTAGATCTACCCATCCCTTTTTAATAACTCCCCCACCCTTTCTCCCACCACCAACTCTGGTGAAACCACCACACCCACTGTGTGTGTGTGTGTGTGTGAGAGAGAGACACAGAGAAGTGGTGCGAGATGGAGGACGACGCTCGAGCCCGAGGGCCACCGCATGTCCTGATACTCGGCTTGGTGGTCGGCTCAATGCTGTTGTTGCCGTCCTTGTTAGGGGAAGGTGGTGCACTGGTCGAGATGGTATCCGAGCTACTCGGTCCTGGCATGCTCATGGCTCTCCCTATTCTCTTGTTGCTTGCTATACGCTTTCTCTCTTCTGATAGAGCAGTTTTCGTCTCAAGTCTTTTCTCAGGAGGCGAGCCCAACTCGATCCATAGAGTCGGCGGCTCTCCTGTTGGTGTCGTCTTCATCCTCATACTCACCCTCCTCCTCCTCAACTACAAGGTCTCCTTGTTCGGTGAGGATGATTCAGAGGAATAATGGTCGAAATCTTGCAAATTTTTAGAGAGAAAGAGATGGCCTGAGATCTTTCATGGAGATGAGAAACCTCCGGCAAATGCAAGGGAATTGGGCCAGTACAGTTGTTGATGTAAAAGATAATTATCTTACTAGTTTTGTGGTGTACTTCTCTTTCTTTCTTTCTATTTACTTTCAGAGTAAGAGCAAAAAAATTTGGCGGCCCTATGGGCCATTCCCCATGTGCAGTTGAATGATGAGCGTTGAAAGTTGGAAGTTGTGGTTTTGGCATTGTCAATTCGTGATCGTCTTTTTGCACCATGGCTTGTTGCGGGTGTTGGACTTTCTCTCTCTCTCACTAAAAAATTGTCCATTGAATCTGTTCTCATGGAGTTGGCATAGAGATCTGATCATGGGCATGAATGAAGCTTAAGCATTTTTTTTTTTAGAAACCTTTTGATCTCCCTCACCCCTTAGATCAATGTAAAATTATTGGGCTCTAGCTCGAGATTAAGCTTCTTGCTCGAGTCTGAGTAGATTCACCTATCATGTCATCTGATTTTTGTCCCAATTATTATAGATCGGCTATCTTGATAGAGATGTGACAAAAAGTTTTTCATCGGCTACCTACCCAACATAACCCTTATTTCTCATCTAGGGATTGTCAATAGAAAAATTAGATTCACCCAAGTTATTTGCAAGCCAAAAAGATCACAAATTAGAAGATAAAATATGACGGTGTGTTTGTTTTGTAGGAGCCATGGCTTCCCCTAAGTGTAGCACTCCATTATTTGTTACGTGGCCACAATTTGAAAGTCGCCGCTTCTATACATTTAAAATTTAAAAATAGTACCATATATTTCTTATTTTATATTCAAATTGTACTTTTTAAAAATCATTAAGCGTTTTAATTTTATCACTTTTTCGATGCATTAGATTAAATTTAAATTTAGTATGTCAATACTTTTTACTATTACATTCCTATAAAAATATTCAAAAAATAATTAAATAATAATAAATAACCAAAATACTCATGAAAAAAAAAGGAAAAAGAAATAAAAAATTCAAGGATTATAATTCAATTCAAGGATTATTATTATTGATCTATCAATTTTCACATGTGTAATTGTACGTTAATCCGCCTGTATTTTTATATTTTTATCTAATCTTTTGATCTTGATGTTCATCATCGATGTGCAAGGAAACGAGGGAGCCGAATTCAAACCGCGCTGCAGGAACAGCTAGAGGGCTTTCGAAATGATTTAAAAGGGCAAATCGCCCGGACGCGTCCCCCGAACCCAAAACGGTAAAGTAGGTGTTCGAGCCTTTCTTTACCGATAAAAATATCTCTCTTTGTTGGTTCCTATCCACACTACAAACACACATGTACACACGCGTGTGAGCCCCACTGTTGTTTGAGAAAAGATTCTTCCGACAAGGCCACCCATATTCTGAGCTGACCCGAGACGATGAGAAATCAAGCCTGACCAACTGACGACTCCATTGGGGATTGAGCTTGTTGTGGATAGGGGCATCCTTCTAAGATGTTCCTCCCAGGTAAATGAGAATATGACAGGTGGGGTTAAAGAGCTTAGAAATACCCAAGCCTGGGGTTGAAGGTTTAGGGGATATGAAACCTTTACCGGTGTTGTGTTGTGTTGTGTTGGTTTTGAGTGAAAGCGCCTACTCATGATGGTAAATGGTGCTTCATATGTGATAAAAATGAGTTGGAATGGTCAAGTAAGAGCGATCATTCAAGGGTCTAAACGGTACTTGAGTTGAGGAAATCTAACCTGACTTAGGGACACGGTAGTTCGCTCCCTGAAGTGGATGAGATGGGGATTCATTGGGGGTGACAAGCGATGCAAGTCTTTGGGAGAACTGGTAGGCTCGCAAGTTGCGACTTAACGTGGAGGTGAGGGCTCGTTTAATGACAGGTGAAATGGTGATCAGGCAGGGGCTATCATTCAAGGGTTTAAATGGTGCCTAAGTTGAGGTAATGACTCTCTAGGGATGATGAACGACGCGAGTATGTGAGAGAATGGTAGTCTCAAGAGTTGAGATTTTAGTGGGGAATGAGGATCTACTTTCACGATTTGTGGTGGGTTCACATGAAAATCGTAGCCTCATGGTGGTTGTGGATGGTTATACTTACTAGAGAGTGAGTGGTTGAATGAGAGCACTTAAGTAAGGATTTTCGCCTTGTCGAGAGAAACTTTAACGTCCCCATGTTTAGATTAAATTGGGGTGCTTTTTAAAGTCTTCATTAATATTTTAAAGGTATTTTGATATTTTATTTATTTTAAATTATTTTTTAAAAAATTTATAGGTGAATGACGATAAAAATATGAACATACTATAGTTGAGCTTAATTTGTTGTATAGAAAAAAGGATAAAAATCAAAAAACACTATATTAGACCGTTCCTAGAATTTTTCCATAAAAAAATTAATCTGTATCTATAATTGGAGTGGGCCATGCGTCTAATGCAATGGGCCCGTTCGCGAAGACCCCACCGACAGCATATTTGAATTACTGTAGTTAACAAACATTGAGAAAAAAAACGTCCCATCTTTTTCTAAGGAAAAACAACATACTCACGGGGAGTGAGGGAGATGATGTATCTATAACGGAGAGAGAAACGGAAGGACCCGGTTTCTATGCGGCCTTGCCCGCATATATAGTAATGCGGGCCTATTAATAAATCTATTTTTGAGATGGATTTTTGGACTATTATTTTTAAGGAGATGTAATCTCTAACATAGAGATCGTGAATATGAAAAAATATATAAATTTTAAAAGCTAGAAATAATAATTCTAGTAAAAAAACATTTTTTGAGATGGATTTTTGGACTATTATTTTTAAGGAGATGTAATCTCTAACATGGAGATCGTGAATATGAAAAAATATATAAATTTTAAAAGCTAGAAATAATAATTCTAGTAAAAAAACATTTGGACCGTTAGTTTCTATTGTTTTTTTTAGATGGAGCACCTACTTGCATGGATGGATCCTTTACACTTTTTAGATCGCATATGTAGTCATACAGTCCAACCCGCATGAAATAATTTTTCCAAACTGAATGAATAGTTTGAGTGACAAAAGTATGTGACGTAGTGCGGTTTGTATAGAGCCGAGGCTCTAGACAATCAAAATAGAACGCACCTTCAAATAGTATCGAGAAAGATGGTTTCGATATTGGAAATCTTTGTGACAGCTTTAAAATATATTTTTATATCTAATTATAAAATTTAAAGCTTAAAAAATAATACATATCGAGCAGATCTATAAAAATCTTAAAAATTGACGGTCCAAAAATGCGCTACAATATGCACTATTTCTAAAGCTTTAAATCCATTTTTTTCTCATATCCCTACAAATTGATATCGAGATGCTCAATTGGAAGATATTTAGGCATCAAAACAACATCTTCTAGTAAAAATTTTGATGTGGACTCCAATTTGATTGTTTAGAGCATAGGCTATGTATAAACTTATCCCGTTTCTGTGTGAGTTTTGTAATTGCAGGATGACGCAAGCCGCTTTCAATGGCTTACAACCACCGATTAGAATGGCACCATGCTCTCATTCCTTGCCGAGTCGAGCTGCGTTTTCGGGTCAACGCGTCCCACTTTACAAATATATATAAAACTTATAGAAATATAGAATCAATAACAAAAAGTTAAATATGTAATTGAATTTTTTCAATGATATAAAACTTTTTCTTTTGTCATATGCCTTGTTTATATATATATACATATATATTTTGCAAGCACCATCCCCTCCACTGCAGTCTTTTTTTTCTCTCAGTTGTCCTCATATCCAGCAATGAAAACATCAGACATAGTTTTTTCTTTCCTAAGTTACCAATGTTGTATGGGATGCTCATTCCCGGACAACTCACATCATTTGTAAAAAAAAAATCCCAAAAAATTGAACAATTAGATTGGCTCTCTCTCTCTCTCCTTATTTAAGTCGTAGTTTGATGATGCATGGGAATTCGCCTGTTTTTCTACTTGAAAATATCTACAATGAGGCCATTTATCTTTTATACATGGGGTCATAGCTATTTCTAACTGTTAAATTTGAAATCGGAAGGTCGAGAGGGCGATTAATTAGGCTCAAAGTTCAAAATTTGTTTTTTTGAACTTTGTGATATATTTCAAGTTATCCAATTCCTTCATGGCTAGGATTAGTTCTTGGCTAGGATTAGTTCTGACCTCCTTATTTCAAATATAGATGGTTTTATGGTATACAATTCATTTTCTAAATGTGGCTTCTATAAGGTTGCAACCTTGAACAATCCAATTAAGACGCACCTCCAAATTTTATTATAACATGTAATTTTGGTGTAAAAAATTCTTAAGATTATCTAAAAATCTATTTTCACATTTAATTATAAAATTTTAAACTCCAAAATGATTAAAATCAAGTAGATCTATAAACATATGAAAACTTAAAAATAAACAATCTAAATAATATATTGTAAGATAAATTATTTTTGAGACTCAAATTCTTGTTTTCTTTTTTTTCATATTCATACATCTCGATGTCGAGATAACCAATTAGTATACTTTTTAATGTTGAAAAAACATTTTTCAATAGATTTTTGAGGTGCATCTTTATTTCTACATCTTTATTTCTACATTTTAAGGTTGCAACGATATATAAACTTTTTCCTTTCTGAAATGCCTTAAACCATAATCAATGATCTTTATATCTATGTTTTGTATATTTTTTTAGTTTTCCTTTTAAACTTTTTACATTGTCTTTTGTTTTGTTTTGGTTTCACAATTTTTATCTTTTTTATAAATATTTTTGAATTTTTTTATTTTCCATGACTTTCGTGCCTTTTCCCTGCATGGGGAATGATTTCATGCAAGGGTTGAATGGTAGCATAATGCAACCATCTTAGAGGCATTTTTTTGATATAAATTTTTGAACGTGCACTTCTTTTTTTTCTAAAGAACAATCACAAAAAAGAAAAAATTGAAACAATACCCATAAAAGTAATCACAAAAATGAAAATTTTGAAACAATACCCTAGAAAGTGTGTTTCTAGCTCAATTAATATAAGCCATCTATTTTTATGAGATGGTTAGATATATGCCTCAGAAGGATTTTTTTATTCCCAAAATTTATCTATAGCATTATTGTCATTAGAACAGTGTTGAAAATTAAAATAAAATAAAATAAACGTGCACTCTTTTTATTCTAAAGAACAATCACAAAAAAAAAAATTTTGAAACAATACCCTAGAAAGTGTTTTTCTAATAATATAAACCATCTTTTTTTATGATGGTTAGATATATGCCTCAGAAATATTATTTTGTTTCTAAAATTTATCTATACT